AACAAACCGTTTCCTTGTACCACAGCGACAACAAAAACCTCAAAGCTCATGCTGAGCTTATGAGACACCTCAGATGTACCTTTAATGTGATTTAAGAGTGCAATACAATGAATTTAAGGTAAGACAAACAAATTGGCCAAATTACCAACAACAAAATTAACACTTCAAGGAATAGTTCACCCTCACCATGTGTCACTTGCTCACCAATGAATCTTCTGCAGTGAATGGGTGCCGTCAGAATGAGAGTCCAAAGAGCTGATAAAAACATTACAATAATCCACAAGTAATCCACACGACTCCAGTCCATTAAATAATGTCTTATGAAGTGAAAAGCTGCGCGTTTGTAATAAACAAATCCACGAATCCATCCATTGCTTCTGGCTAAAATACAAGTCCTCTATGCATAATATTGCTTTCTCCAGTGAAGTCGACTCATCTGAACCAGGAGAGAAATACACACAAATCAAGCACCATTTAGAAGTGAAAACAATTCTAAACAAATATGTCAGTGGATTTTGATGTGAGAGGACAACCAGGGATAAACTTTTTCACTAGAGGAATAATTATGGAGCATGGACTCTTATTTTGGCCAGATGTGACATATTAATGATGGATTTGTTTCTTACTAACACAGCTTTTCACTTCACAAGATGCCAATTGAGATGTGTGGATTACTTGTGGATTATTGTGATGTCTTTATCAGCTGTTTGGACTCTCATTCTGATGGTACCCATTCACTGCAGAGCATCCATTGGTGAGCAACTGATGTAATGCTAAATCTCTCCAAATCTGCTCCCATGAAGAAACAAACTCATCTTCATCTTGGATGGTCTGAGAGGGAGTACATTTTCAGCAAATTATTATTTTTGGGTGAACTATTCCTTTAAACGTGCAGGCTGTTGTCTATTTCAGAGGGGGGAAACAGATTGATTTCTTAGCTGTGGATGAAAACTACGATTTTGAATACCAGGACGTGATGAACTTGGGCAAAACGAAGACAGTGAAGTTGGTAAGTGTGAAATGATTTGAATCATTGAACAACTTGCAGTGCTGTTTAGTTTACAGTGATTTCAAGCATAAATACTGTATCAAACAGGGTATATGCACTGCACAATACCATACATCACACTGATATGTTATCCAAGCTAAAAACTTAACTTAAAAGTTTGTTTATCAGTACATAATTATTAATATTCAGACAAATAAAGGTCTTTTTCGCCTTCCAGGGTGACAAATTGCTGGTGGAGTGCACTTATAACACTGAAAACCGCAGCACACTCACATGGGTTAGTATTTTATACAAATATAATAACTTTTCTTTATGCATTAAATACATTAAAATGTTTTTTTTTTGGCTGCCCACAGGGGGGGCTCTCGACTTCAGATGAGATGTGTTTGGCCTTCCTCTTCTACTATCCAGCGATGAATCTGAGCGGCTGTATGAGTTTTCCCAATACAACAACTTTAAGATCTGAGATGGGAACGCCAAATGCAAAGTAATCCACTTATAAACACAAGCATCATCTAAAGGTCACCCATGAATGCATTTAGCCCTAATAATGACCATGGCTTTTATCTGATAATTGCAGTAACTGGCTCAACTTGATGTCCAACAAAATCTGGAATGACACGTCTATCAATCAATACCAACAAACACTGAAGAGAATCGACCAGCTCGTCATAATTGCTGATTCATTGGTAAGTATCCACACCTCCACAACATACATCAATCTCTTGTTTTTGTAAGCTGTTAACTATGTTCTTTGTGTTTTTTTCCAGAATAACATATCACGCAACACAGGGCTGATTCCTGACCTCAGTGTCATCCCGTCTGCACCCTGCATGGGCGGCTGTGCCACCAAAAGTCTTGCTTTGCTATCGCTGCTCCTCTGTTTGGCAGTGCAGTTCATGCAAAAATACTACTGATGTAACCTGTTGTTCTATTCATGCAATGAAGATTAAAATTAAGATTACATTTAAGATTAAAAATCAATCAATCTAGATTAGGAGCTCCTGGCAGCTCCACCCTCACAGGTATAATAGTTTTGATAACCAAAAATCCTACAAAATATGTTACTGTAATAAATCATATCAGGGAAATCAGGTTTTCCATGGTCCTGGAAATATCACGGAATGTCAAAAGCATAATTTAAGGCCTAGAAAAAAAATATTTTGTATGTTCAAAAGTGTGTTACAAATATTTAATGGCTAAAAAAAATTCAGTGGCTTAATTTGATCATTTATAACATGTTTTCAATGTCTGAATTCAAATGTACTGGGATGTTTTAGGAGAAAATGGGCTATAACTGTTATGATATTTTAATGAAAAAAAAAAAGAAAAAGAAAAAGGATTTTATTGAAATGATGCTCAGCTTTTTGTAGCCAAGAATTTCTAGCCGAGGAATATTCACTGTAGCAAAAAGTGTGACAACTAGCCCTAGTCTCCTCATACCATTGTAATTTTTGTTCGTTTGTTTGTCTTACCTTGTTTTGCATTCTGAACTCGTACGTGCTCATACCGGTAATGTAGTTCTGCGTTCACACACAGCATCATACCGGTAATTTACTGGTAATGTTACAACTTCCCTTACTGGTAAATTGCCAGAACAAATTTACCGGTATTTTTGAAAAGGTCCTGTTCACACATGATCTTTTAACGGTAATTTACCGGTAATTTAACAGTAAAGTCTGCCTGTGTGTGAAAGCGGCTAATGTTTTATGTTTTTATTAAAATACATTAGCCGGCTGCATCACTTTGTTTATTACTTATCAGAGCTGTTGAAACCGGAGATTCACACTAAATAAAACCTAATAATTCACACGAGATGAAATCAACAGATGCACGGAGGAAACCCATAAGTGTGCATTAATGTTTACTCTAACTGTACAGAGATTTTCACGGAGGAAATTAACAAATATCCTGCTTTTTTCCGACTTTGAAGCATAGCCTACTGCCACATAAAACTCCATGCGATCACTTATATGAGCTACTGATAATGAAAACTGCTCAAACACAGTTGTATCCAGGCCCGGTTCCAGAATTAAATACTGAGGGGGGTTCAGAAATCAGTGTGTGCGCGCTCTAACCTCAATGTACATTAATTTTTTACATGGGTCATATTTTTGTCCCATCCAGACGATTTGCGAACCTGCTCCGAAGTTTAGATTTGAATCAAATGATTCACGATACGCGATCCGATTGGAGCGCTTTGAAACAATCCCTGCTGAAAAAAACAATAGAACCAAAAATTCTAATGGTTTCCACTACAAATACCATTACAAACCATCAACCTTTAACCATTAAAACATGTTTTTTTTGTGTGTTTTGGGACATATTCCATTAGGATTGACTGGTTTTAACAAGCCACCAATATAAGGTGAGCAATTTACCAGAGACGCACAGGGTCCATTACAGTTTCCATTAAAACCAATACAATTCCCATTATAACCAGTAAAACCACTACATATTTTGTGATGGTGTCTATTGTTTTTTTCAGCAGGGATGCGACGCAATGGTTTAACTGATTCGGATTTCCGAAAAGCTCCGTTATTACAAGCGATGTCGAAATTAGAAATTGAATGGCTCTTTGGATCTGGTTTTTGCTAGTGAATGGAGTTTGAGCTTGAATCAGTCGGAGCGGTTCCAGTGTAAATGACTTACTCAACTGCGCGCTATTTAGGGATTGCATCTTCAGCAGGGTCGTGCAGAGACCTTTGAAGGGGCAGGTGCTCAAAGTATAAAAGGGGCACATGGAACACGGCTTTTAATAGGGCTGTGCTCCTTGCTGATACGTGTATCGAAACGGATGCTTCTGTATTGATACAGCAGCAAATGCCGTGACACAGATTTGAAAAAGAATCACTGAACAGAAAAGACCCTTTTAAGTTTAAAAGTTAAAGAATTTTTTCTTAATTAGAGTCCCAGCCTCAGAGGAGACAACAGAGCAGTGAATTTAATGATTTATTTACTGTATATTGCTGCTGCCACACAAATCTAAAATAAACATGCGATTTATTTCCCAGATGTTTACCTTCACAGACATAACCGACTTTTTATGTATCTCATGTGTGTTTTTAACGTAAACTTGTGTGTGAATGAGAACTCAGTTTAGTACTCACATGCTGTGACAGCCGCTTTCTGTACGAGTGCACTCAGAAAACCATATAGCAGAAGTTTAAACTCATATGGTTTAAAACGCATGATTTCAGCGTGATAAACATGATAATCAGAACCAAAACAGATGTTTTTAGCAGGTCCGTGCTGTAAAGGCGCAGCTCTATTCTGGAAAACGGGGCGGGGCAGCAGCTCATTTGCATTTGAAGAAACAGGCCCGAAAAACAGCGTGTTTCTGCTTCCACTCAAAATAGGCATTTTCAAAATGATATAATAAATGATCTATGGAGTATTTTGAGCTGAAACTTCACAGACACATTCTGGGGACACCAAAGACTTGTATTTCATATTGTAAAAAGTGGCATAATATGTCTCCTTTAATAAATATTTAATTTTAACAAAATTCATCCCCCGCACTATATTCGGACTGGTGTGTTCACGTAGAGGTTTCTAGATTTAAATTCAAAGCCACAGTATAAATAGTTTATGCACGACCTGACATTTTATTCCTATCCAAAATAAGGAGATCCGAACATCAAGAGCGCTGAACACTCTCATGCAGTGCATGCTTCATTCATACTCGACGCCAGAGGGCGGTCTCGCGCAGAAAGTCCAAAACAGATTCATAGAAGTAATAACTTATGACCTGCAGGAAATCCGGCTATAGCTGTAGCTGAATAAAAAGCAGAACCGTTTTTACTGATGAAACGTGAAGACAATAAACAAACAATTGCAAAATTATATGGTTTATTTGTGTTTTTCAAGTTATCTCCAGGTAATAAATAAACTATATAAATAATGCAGTACTGATTGATTGACATATTATTTAGTTTAGAAACTATTCTTAGCTGTGGATGAAAACTACGATTTTGAATACCAGGACGTGATGAACTTGGGCAAAACGAAGACAGTGAAGTTGGTAAGTGTGAAATGATTTGAATCATTGAACAACTTGCAGTGCTGTTTAGTTTACAGTGATTTCAAGCATAAATACTGTATCAAACAGGGTATATGCACTGCACAATACCATACATCACACTGATATGTTATCCAAGCTAAAAACTTAACTTAAAAGTTTGTTTATCAGTACATAATTATTAATATTCAGACAAATAAAGGTCTTTTTCGCCTTCCAGGGTGACAAATTGCTGGTGGAGTGCACTTATAACACTGAAAACCGCAGCACACTCACATGGGTTAGTATTTTATACAAATATAATAACTTTTCTTTATGCATTAAATACATTAAAATGTTTTTTTTTTGGCTGCCCACAGGGGGGGCTCTCGACTTCAGATGAGATGTGTTTGGCCTTCCTCTTCTACTATCCAGCGATGAATCTGAGCGGCTGTATGAGTTTTCCCAATACAACAACTTTAAGATCTGAGATGGGAACGCCAAATGCAAAGTAATCCACTTATAAACACAAGCATCATCTAAAGGTCACCCATGAATGCATTTAGCCCTAATAATGACCATGGCTTTTATCTGATAATTGCAGTAACTGGCTCAACTTGATGTCCAACAAAATCTGGAATGACACGTCTATCAATCAATACCAACAAACACTGAAGAGAATCGACCAGCTCGTCATAATTGCTGATTCATTGGTAAGTATCCACACCTCCACAACATACATCAATCTCTTGTTTTTGTAAGCTGTTAACTATGTTCTTTGTGTTTTTTTCCAGAATAACATATCACGCAACACAGGGCTGATTCCTGACCTCAGTGTCATCCCGTCTGCACCCTGCATGGGCGGCTGTGCCACCAAAAGTCTTGCTTTGCTATCGCTGCTCCTCTGTTTGGCAGTGCAGTTCATGCAAAAATACTACTGATGTAACCTGTTGTTCTATTCATGCAATGAAGATTAAAATTAAGATTACATTTAAGATTAAAAATCAATCAATCTAGATTAGGAGCTCCTGGCAGCTCCACCCTCACAGGTATAATAGTTTTGATAACCAAAAATCCTACAAAATATGTTACTGTAATAAATCATATCAGGGAAATCAGGTTTTCCATGGTCCTGGAAATATCACGGAATGTCAAAAGCATAATTTAAGGCCTAGAAAACAAATCTTTGATTTGTTCAAAAGTGTGTTACAAATATTTAATGGCTAAAAAAAATTCAGTGGCTTAATTTGATCATTTATAACATGTTTTCAATGTCTGAATTCAAATGTACTGGGATGTTTTAGGAGAAAATGGGCTATAACTGTTATGATATTTTAATGAAAAAAAAAAAGAAAAAGAAAAAGGATTTTATTGAAATGATGCTCAGCTTTTTGTAGCCAAGAATTTCTAGCCGAGGAATATTCACTGTAGCAAAAAGTGTGACAACTAGCCCTAGTCTCCTCATACCATTGTAATTTTTGTTCGTTTGTTTGTCTTACCTTGTTTTGCATTCTGAACTCGTACGTGCTCATACCGGTAATGTAGTTCTGCGTTCACACACAGCATCATACCGGTAATTTACTGGTAATGTTACAACTTCCCTTACTGGTAAATTGCCAGAACAAATTTACCGGTATTTTTGAAAAGGTCCTGTTCACACATGATCTTTTAACGGTAATTTACCGGTAATTTAACAGTAAAGTCTGCCTGTGTGTGAAAGCGGCTAATGTTTTATGTTTTTATTAAAATACATTAGCCGGCTGCATCACTTTGTTTATTACTTATCAGAGCTGTTGAAACCGGAGATTCACACTAAATAAAACCTAATAATTCACACGAGATGAAATCAACAGATGCACGGAGGAAACCCATAAGTGTGCATTAATGTTTACTCTAACTGTACAGAGATTTTCACGGAGGAAATTAACAAATATCCTGCTTTTTTCCGACTTTGAAGCATAGCCTACTGCCACATAAAACTCCATGCGATCACTTATATGAGCTACTGATAATGAAAACTGCTCAAACACAGTTGTATCCAGGCCCGGTTCCAGAATTAAATACTGAGGGGGGTTCAGAAATCAGTGTGTGCGCGCTCTAACCTCAATGTACATTAATTTTTTACATGGGTCATATTTTTGTCCCATCCAGACGATTTGCGAACCTGCTCCGAAGTTTAGATTTGAATCAAATGATTCACGATACGCGATCCGATTGGAGCGCTTTGAAACAATCCCTGCTGAAAAAAACAATAGAACCAAAAATTCTAATGGTTTCCACTACAAATACCATTACAAACCATCAACTTTTAACCATTAAAACATGTTTTTTTTGTGTGTTTTGGGACATATTCCATTAGGATTGACTGGTTTTAACAAGCCACCAATATAAGGTGAGCAATTTACCAGAGACGCACAGGGTCCATTACAGTTTCCATTAAAACCAATACAATTCCCATTATAACCAGTAAAACCACTACATATTTTGTGATGGTGTCTATTGTTTTTTTCAGCAGGGATGCGACGCAATGGTTTAACTGATTCGGATTTCCGAAAAGCTCCGTTATTACAAGCGATGTCGAAATTAGAAATTGAATGGCTCTTTGGATCTGGTTTTTGCTAGTGAATGGAGTTTGAGCTTGAATCAGTCGGAGCGGTTCCAGTGTAAATGACTTACTCAACTGCGCGCTATTTAGGGATTGCATCTTCAGCAGGGTCGTGCAGAGACCTTTGAAGGGGCAGGTGCTCAAAGTATAAAAGAGGCACATGGAACACGGCTTTTAATAGGGCTGTGCTCCTTGCTGATACGTGTATCGAAACGGATGCTTCTGTATTGATACAGCAGCAAATGCCGTGACACAGATTTGAAAAAGAATCACTGAACAGAAAAGACCCTTTTAAGTTTAAAAGTTAAATCTTAATTACTTAATTAGAGTCCCAGCCTCAGAGGAGACAACAGAGCAGTGAATTTAATGATTTATTTACTGTATATTGACACAGATCTAAATAATCATGCGATTTATTTCCCAGCTGTTTACCTTCACAGACATAACCGACTTTTTATGTAACTCATGTGTGTTTTTAACGTAAACTTGTGTGTGAATGAGAACTCAGTTTAGTACTCACATGCTGTGACAGCCGCTTTCTGTACGAGTGCACTCAGAAAACCATATAGCAGAAGTTTAAACTCATATGGTTTAAAACGCATGATTTCAGCGTGATAAACATGATAATCAGAACCAAAACAGATGTTTTTAGCAGGTCCGAGCTGTAAAGGCGCAGCTCTATTCTGGAAAACGGGGCGGGGAGCAGCAGCTCATTTGCATTTAAAGAAACAGGCCCGAAAAACAGCGTGTTTCTGCTTCCACTCAAAATAGGCATTTTCAAAATGATATAATAAATGATCTATGGAGTATTTTGAGCTGAAACTTCACAGACACATTCTGGGGACACCAAAGACTTGTATTTCATATTGTAAAAAGTGGCATAATATGTCTCCTTTAATAAATATTTAATTTTAACAAAATTCATCCCCCGCACTATATTCGGACTGGTGTGTTCACGTAGAGGTTTCTAGATTTAAATTCAAAGCCACAGTATAAATAGTTTATGCACGACCTGACATTTTATTCCTATCCAAAATAAGGAGATCCGAACATCAAGAGCGCTGAACACTCTCATGCAGTGCATGCTTCATTCATACTCGACGCCAGAGGGCGGTCTCGCGCAGAAAGTCCAAAACAGATTCATAGAAGTAATAACTTATGACCTGCAGGAAATCCGGCTATAGCTGTAGCTGAATAAAAAGCAGAAACGTTTTTACTGATGAAACGTGAAGACAATAAACAAACAATTGCAAAATTATATGGTTTATTTGTGTTTTTCAAGTTATCTCCAGGTAATAAATAAACTATATAAATAATGCAGTACTGATTGATTGACATATTATTTAGTTTAGAAACTATAAAATATATTTCCTGCCTTATTCGGTGATAAAAATGAGAAAAAGGTATTCGTAGTAGCCTTTATAAACCAATCATAAAATTGTCATTAGGAAAATATTGAACAAAAATATTATAGCCCCTTGCTGCAGCTATGTTACTTCCACAGGCTACACACACACACCAATATAAACAACAGCTGTACATGCTCTCTTCACGTCATTCTTGTAAAATTATAATATCCGTGCTGGTTGCTGAGGAAATACAACAACTTTGCGCTGTGGATCGCTGGATCGGCCCGTGGACGAAGAGGAGTCCAGGATTAGAAGGATTTCCTCAGCGAACAGCACGGATCAGCTCCAGGCATGCCGAAGCGGATATCATCCTCTTTTGGAAGACCAAACAAAGTAGTTTCACTTTCACAACGAAACACACAGCGCCTTCACAACATGGCGGCAGCGGCAACAATACTACAGCGAGAATAAAAGTTACGCCTTCTTTCTTTGCGTGAACATTTGGGCGGCGTTATGCAAATCTTCCCACATAGTGATGTAGACATGTGGGGGCGTGTTAGAACGAGGCGTTTTAGGTAGATGTGGCTGACTCTTAACTTTTATAAAGAATATCTCTTTGGATTTGAGACTTTAGTCTTTGCAACTTTACAGATCTTCTTTATGCACCAAGAGCTTGTAACACTCCAAAGAGAAAGGAAAAATTGAAATCGCATCATATGACCCCTTTAAAGGGATAGTTCACCCAAAAATTCAAATTTTATGTTTATCTGCTTACCCCCAGGGCATCCAAGATTTAGGTGACTTTGTTTCTTCAGTAGAACACAAACGAAGATTTTTAACTCAAACTGTTGCAGTCTGTCAGTCATAAAATGGAAGTGAATGGGAACCACGACTTTGAGTCAAAAAAACATACACAAAACCAAATTAAACCCCGCGGCTCGTGACGATACATTGATGTGTAAAGACATGAAACGATCGGTCTGTGCAAGAAACTGAACCGTATTTATATCGTTGTTTTTACCTCTGACAGTCTATATGCACAAACTAAAGATGACTATCTGTGTCTAAACAGTGAAGCCGGGTCAATGTCCCAAACCGAAGAACATTCCACTGTGTGCTGTTTTTCAGTCTCCACCCCCTAGATGTGGATTCAACCATGCCCCCGGGATCTTGTGTTCTGCAGTGAGGGGCTACTGGAATACATTCAAAACTCCACTAACATGATAATCAGAACCAAAACAGATGTTTTTAGCAGGTCCGAGCTGTAATGGCACAGCTCTATTCTGGAAAACGGGGCGGGGAGCAGCAGCTCATTTGCATTTAAAGAAACAGGCCCGAAAAACAGCGTGTTTCTGCTTCCACTCAAAATAGGCATTTTCAAAATGATATAATAAATGATCTATGGAGTATTTTGAGCTGAAACTTCACAGACACATTCTGGGGACACCAAAGACTTGTATTTCATATTGTAAAAAGTGGCATTCCTTTAATACTTTAATAAATATTTAATTTTAACAAAATTCATCCCCCGCACTATATTCGGACTGGTGTGTTCACGTAGAGATTTAAATTTTTAAATTCAAAGCCACAGTATAAATAGTTTATGCACGACCTGACATTTTATTCCTATCCAAAATAAGGAGATCCGAACATCAAGAGCGCTGAACACTATCATGCAGTGCATGCTTCATTCATACTCGACGCCAGAGGGCGGTCTCGCGCAGAAAGTCCAAAACAGATTCATAGAAGTAATAACTTATGACCTGCAGGAAATCCGGCTATAGCTGTAGCTGAATAAAAAGCAGAACCGTTTTTACTGATGAAACGTGAAGACAATAAACAAACAATTGCAAAATTATATGGTTTATTTGTGTTTTTCAAGTTATCTCCAGGTAATAAATAAACTATATAAATAATGCAGTACTGATTGATTGACATATTATTTAGTTTAGAAACTATAAAATATATTTCCTGCCTTATTCGGTGATAAAAATGAGAAAAAGGTATTCGTAGTAGCCTTTATAAACCAATCATAAAATTGTCATTAGGAAAATATTGAACAAAAATATTATAGCCCCTTGCTGCAGCTATGTTACTTCCACAGGCTACACACACACACCAATATAAACAACAGCTGTACATGCTCTCTTCACGTCATTCTTGTAAAATTATAATATCCGTGCTGGTTGCTGAGGAAATACAACAACTTTGCGCTGTGGATCGCTGGATCGGCCCGTGGACGAAGAGGAGTCCAGTATTAGAAGTATTTCCTCAGCGAACAGCACGGATCAGCTCCAGGTATAACGAAGCAAAATCGTCCTCTTTTGGAAGACCAAACAAAGTAGTTTCACTTTCACAACGAAACACACAGCGCCTTCACAACATGGCGGCAGCGGCAACAATACTACAGCGAGAATAAAAGTTACGCCTTCTTTCTTTGCGTGAACATTTGGGCGGCGTTATGCAAATCTTCCCACATAGTGATGTAGACATGTGGGGGCGTGTTAGAACGAGGCGTTTTAGGTAGATGTGGCTGACTCTTAACTTTTATAAAGAATATCTCTTTGGATTTGAGACTTTAGTCTTTGCAACTTTACAGATCTTCTTTATGCACCAAGAGCTTGTAACACTCCAAAGAGAAAGGAAAAATTGAAATCGCATCATATGACCCCTTTAAAGGGATAGTTCACCCAAAAATTTAAATTTTATGTTTATCTGCTTACCCCCAGGGCATCCAAGATTTAGGTGACTTTGTTTCTTCAGTAGAACACAAACGAAGATTTTTAACTCAAACTGTTGCAGTCTGTCAATCATAAAATGGAAGTGAATGGGAACCACGACTTTGAGTCAAAAAAACATACACAAAACCAAATTAAACCCCGCGGCTCGTGACGATACATTGATGTGTAAAGACATGAAACGATCGGTCTGTGCAAGAAACTGAACCGTATTTATATCGTTGTTTTTACCTCTGACAGTCTATATGCACAAACTAAAGATGACTATCTGTGTCTAAACAGTGAAGCCGGGTCAATGTCCCAAACCGAAGAACATTCCACTGTGTGCTGTTTTTCAGTCTCCACCCCCTAGATGTGGATTCAACCATGCCCCCGGGATCTTGTGTTCTGCAGTGAGGGGCTACTGGAATACATTCAAAACTCCAGAGAGAGAGAGAGAGAGAGAGAGAGAGAGAGAGAGAGAGAGAGAGAGAGAAAAATACACACATACACACACACACACACACACAGAGTTATTTGTAACTAAAATCAATTAAATGACATTATATAAATATTACATGGAAAAACAAACTTAACTTAAAAAACTGAAATGTTGCCTTGGCAAGTAACTGAAATAAAATAAGTTTAATTACTGAAATTAAAACTAAAATAGAAAAAAGCTAAACAGAATAATTAAAAATAAACAAAAAAACTAATTAAAAAAATTAAAAACAATATATATATAATAATAATAATAATAATAATAATAATGACAACCAAGTGCTTTTGTCTTTTAATTAGTTTTTGTTGTTTTTAAATATTACTGTTTAGCTTTGTTTTTATATTAGTTTTAATTTGAGCAATTTTAGTACTCAAACTTTTTTTTATTAGTTACTTGCCAAGGTAAAATTTCTCAAAAAAAAAAAAAAAAGTTTCTCAATTGTTTTAGTTACCAATAACACATTAATAATGTTAATAATTTAAGAACATCATTTCTATATAAATACACAGTACATAATTTAAGTTGACTTTAAAACCCTACATCCCCATAGAATAGACACTTAAATCTGTTCAACGTGCAGTTTAACCATACTGTTGGCCCAGCAACTTCTGTTTTCAATAGGACTCCACAGACCAGAAGCTGAACAGCGAGAAGAAAGCTTAATTACTTTTTCTGGAATGAACATTAACAAACAAAACAATAATAATAATAATTTATGTATATGTATACTTTAAATATTCTATATTGTTATATAATTTATTATTATTATACATGGTCATTATTATTAATTTATATATACTTTCACTAATGAATGTAATATTTGAATTAACATCTGACAATAAAACTTTTTATTGAATAAATATACATTATATGTATAAATATATCATTATCTAAATGTTGTTTTAATATAATATTTGTCAGTAATTAAGAAATGTTTATATTATTATTATACATATTTTCTATTCTTATTTATTATTGACATTTATCTAGACTTGTCCACTTGTCCTTGGATTACATTCGATACTGCCTGAGAATTTGGCCAAAAAGAACCTGCGGTGATTAACAGTTCTCTAAGTAGGCAGCTTACTAGGTTTTGGAACCGAGTCTAAATGTAAAGACAAAAATCAAAGGCTGTGTATGAAATATCTACCGTGCACTAGACTGGTGTCAACACATCACTAGTGTTTTGCTAAGAGGCCATTAGATTGAACTGGTTTTGGGTCCATGAGAGGCTTCAGCAGTGTTGCAGACAGGAATGAAGATGTTGATTTGGTAAGAGCAAAGCAAAATTAAGCAAAGCCGCAGCGATTGCACTTGTTGATTCGTGGCTTGAAAAGCTTCAGTCAGTCTGAGCAGGGAGGAATGTCGTGCTTTTGATTGGTTGATTAATGCAAAGTTAGTTCCTTGGTAAGCGTAAATGCAATTTTGATCACAACAGGCCCCAATGACATTAAATGGGGGGAAGCTTTGTGCAGATTACATGCAAGGTCAGATACACTGGGCATCTTTGTGAAATAGGGTTGAACTGCTACTTTTTTTGCATATGAATGTTTAAAAGTTTCACATCTGATATGTTCCATAAGTTACTTTAAAAATAAGTACGCACAGACACTTGCAAAATCTTAAAAAAAAAATAAATAAATATATATATATATATAAAAGTATGTTTGAAAAGGTTAAACGAGGACTTAGTAACTACATTTTGTCTTCAATAATTCAATACAACTTTAGAAAGGTAAAGTTGGTGATTAAAATAAAGGATAATTCATGTAATAATGTTTTATTTAAATAGTATTTATATACACACACACACATATATATATATATATATATATATATTCATATTTATATTAAAATACAATAATTAATTATACAAATGATATAATTGAATGATAATTAATATAATGATTTTTTTTGTTGCTTTTTTTCCAATCAGTTTCCTTAAGGATACAATGTTTACTGAGGAAAAAATGTTGAACTGATATAAAAATTTAACATGCATACAAACATACTTTCAAAACATCTAACAAATTTTTTCAAACAGTTTTGACTTGGCTGCACTACATGCACTGATGTAAAATGTAAATTTTAAAATATAAAAAATTCCAAAAATATTTCAGAGTGACTGTCTGCACCAAGATTGCTAAAGGTCTCTGTGTGCTGCACAACAAATTCAGATGGCTTTTAAACAGTCAAGCACAAAAAAGCGCCTCATCTGACAGATCTTTTCCCCTTTGCCAAGTGTAAACAGGACTGAGGAGAGGTGCAGTGTTGAGCCCACCACTGCTAGTAAGAAGAAGCCAGTGTCTCGTTCCCTGAGCTGATAATGGACGGGCATGCGTCTAGCTGCTGAGGCCCGGCCTACCCCAAAGCAGATCACACACACACACACATGAAACGGCTGGCAACACCAACAGTACTTGGACTGATTTTGGACCGCACAGCGAATCACGAGGTCTACTGACTGCTTGTACGGCTCTAGGATGATTCGAGGAAGAGGAATCGGGGAGAATAGGTGATCGGAAAACAAATAAAAATCTAATTACTAATTAAAAGGAATTTTCCAGGTTCAATACAAGTTAAGCTCAATTGACCGCAATTGATGCATAAAATAAGTGATACCTTTATAAAAAAAATAAACATTTTATTAATTTCTTTATTAATTGATTACTTAAATCAGGGATCCTCAAATCTGGCCCACGAGATCCACTTTCCTGCAGAGTTTAGCTCTAACCCTAATCAACACACCTGAGCATACTAATCAATGTCTTCAGGATCATTAGAAAATCACAGGTAGGCGAGTTTGATCAGGGTTGGAGCTAAACTCTGAAGCGCATTGGACCTCCAGGGCAAGATTTGAGGAACCCGGACTTAAATGAAGGTTAAAATGTTGTTCTGATGGCTCAAGGCAAAGGTCTGGAAAACTACTAGCTGAACTCAATGTACATAAGGAAGTTATGCCACTTTCCTGGTATTATTGCATAAACATTTTGCCAAAAAATTTATGTACTATAGTTTATAGGCATTTTACAGCAGTAATGTCATCATGACAAACAAAGTATGGATATAACTTTACCCAGACAAGCTCGGTAAGGATTTTTATCACATAAACCTTATGTTAACACATAAAAAAAATTATTTGAACATGTACCGTTCAAAAGTTTGGGGCCTTTAAGGTTTTTATTTAATGTTTTTTAAAGAAGTCTTATACTCACCAAGGCTGTATTTATTTGATTATTTGAAACTACAGCAAAAACAGAATTATGAATTATCATTTAAAATAATGGTTTTCTATTTGAATATATTTTAAAATGTAATTTATTCCTGGATGGCAAAAACTAATTAAATAAGGCAATTTTCTTCAGCGTCACACGATCCTTCAGAAATCATTCTAATATGGTGATTTTGCGTTTAAGAAATATTTTTGATGATCAATGTTGACAACAGTTGAGCTGCTTAAGTGTTTTTGTGGAAACAGGAATACTTTTTTTTTCTTTCTCAGGATTCTTAAAAACAGCATTTAATTGAAACAGAAAACTTTTTAACATTATAAATGTCTTTATTGTCATTTTTTATCAATTTATGAATCCTGAATAAAAGTATGTATTTCTTTTTTTAAATCCTTACTGACCCCAAACGTTTAAACGGAAGTCAATATTGTCTGTTAACCGAACAGTTGCTTTCAGTTAAGCTCAACTTGAACCTAGAAGATTCCCTGTAAAAGGAAGGATAAAATGAGAAACAAAATAAATAAATGTTAGAAACCAGGACATATGATTTGACAGATTGGCTTTGATACTACGAAAATTTACAGATAGAAAGGTAGAGGAAATGTTGAAAATGGAGAGCGCCGAGTCTCCACTGGAGAACAGGAAAAGGAACAAACGAACACCAAAAAAACCCCCAAAACATGAAAACGAATGAACCAATAATAAATGGAGGATGAGCGGGGCTGAGGTCGGGCCCTTTACTCTCCTCAGCGTCTCTACCTTTCGAGTTGGCTGATGGGATGAAGCTGGGTTTGGCGGGAGGGTGAGGGGGCTGCCCTGCTTTGGGAGCAGTACTGTTGGCATTGGCCGCTGCGGGCAGCTGGAATGAGTTGGACAGAAAGATGCCATCTGAGACGGGACGGGGCTTGCGCGCGGTTGGCGGCGGCTGGGACTTTGGGGCGGGCGGAAGGTCACCGTAGGACTTCCGGGTGGCCGAGAGCTTAACCTGACCTGTTAGGCCCGCATCCTCCTCCTCCTCCTCCTCCTCCTCCTCCTCCTCGTCATTGTACGAGACAAACTTGGCAGTGTATATGGTGTCGGGGGAGGTGACCTGGGTTTTGAGGTAGGAGGTGTTTCTCTGAGGTGGGGGCGGAGGGGCGCTGTTGTTGTTAGTGGCAGGGGTGCTTGCGGGAGAAGGGGGCTGGTAGTCCCGGGGTAGGGGGGGTCTGTACAGACCAGGCTCGTCTGGCGTTAGCAGCTTGCGCTCAGCTTCCTCGTGCTGCCGGCGCCGCTCTACCTCCAGGCGGGTGTAGTACTCTTCCTCCTGTCTCCTCTGAAGGGGGGAACATGGGAAGAGCTGGTTAGAGCTGCCTTTGCAAGCCTGCACTGCTGCGAGGCCTGGGTCAAAGCTAATGGTACCCTGGCTAATGGTTGCACCAATGTAGTAAAGCTACATTGTAGTAGAAGAAATGTGTTTGCTGATATGATGTAATGTGCTTTTGACTGAATCAAGTAGCTAAATCCTGCATGTTGGGGAAAGTAAGCCATTGGTTTTATTTAACACGGCAAGCAAGCAATGTTGTAACCTATACGTAAATCAACAGTGCTGTCAATACTACATTGCCGCTGGTAGCATAGCGAGTTCACGAGTTCAATCCACTTTGCAGCTTATTCTGGCCAGGATATGTCAGATGTTTTGTTTTAATGTTCAATTCAGAAGTGAGTTAATCTGAAACAGTCGATAACACAAAAATAGGCTGTTGTCAGGAAAGTTTCAATTAAAAAAAATATATTTAAAAAAAAATTAAATCAAAATTGAAATATTAAAAAAATACATTTAATGAAACATTTAAAAAATAGAAAGCCAATACAATTTCCAACGTAATTAAATGTTTAATTTAGAATCTGAATTAAGTGCCTAAGTGTTTAAACACTTTTGAAAGTCCTTTGAAGATCTAAATCCAGTGATTAAACCTTCTTTAAAAATGCAAATTGTATGAATGCAATCTAGTTTAGATGCATTTTGCAGTTTGCTTGCAGTGCAGACACTGTTTAAGACTTGCATTCGATTGTAAGCACACCAGATGGTGCTAAAGAGGAACAAGTCACTACAGCTGACAAATATGCTTGTTTCTAACTGGAATGGAAATACTGGAGTGTATGTTACTGTTACAAGCTCCAGTTGAAGGTCTGGCTGGCATTTGGTGGTTTAGCTTTAGAGAAAAACACCCAGGCTGCTCTGGTCTCTGTGCATGGATCCCCTGGGTTAGTATTGCGGTGGTGGGAATGTCTCTTATGAGAGAATGTGGAGGCAAAACACACACGAGCTAGTTCAATCTGGGATGGCCTCCACAAAAACCAAGGCGGGCCCATTTCCAACAGCACTTCCAAGCAATGTTGTATGGAATGGCAATGGTCTCCCAACAAAATGCTGGAGTGTTGTGTAAAGATCTGACATGTGACTCTCATGCGCTTCTTAGAAGGGGATGGGGATACATCACAAACACAAGAGAGGAGATGTTGTGAAGACATGCAGTTGGACATCACAAATGGGCTCTAAAATTACCAGTGGTCTGAAAATGACGCACACAGACACAGATAAAACTGGATGGTCACATAGTGGGGAACGTTGTGGTCACATTTTTAATTTACGAATGTAAATTCAGACCACTGGTAAACTGATGACCCAATGAGGCATTCCAAAAGTGTAACACATGGGCATTAAACAAACTTAATTTAGCCTCTGACAGTTAACGGATCATTACTAACTCCAGAATTGCTGTTAAACTTATTATTATCAGCAAGTATAGGACTGTATATATACATAGGTACACATTATTTTAAATTAAGCACAAAGGGGTTGTGATCTCATACAGTCTGACACATTAAATATCAGCTGCTGTCTCCAATCACACCCACTTACAAGGTCGTGAGGAACCATCCACATGGAAATCAGGCAAAACCTTGAAAAAGCTTAGCGTTAGCATGAATAAACATGGCTGATCACATAGGTCTCCATCAGGAAATTATGCCAAAAATTTATTTATATTGGTACAGAGATTATTTTGGGAATCTACACCAAAACAAAAGCAAGAACATCTCACTATAATTAACCTGAATAATCAAAAGCAAGAGATCAGGTCTGAGACATTAAAATCAAACTGCTGTTGTCGTGACCTGCATTTAAAGCCAGGCCGAGTGGGCAAAAATTGAAAAGATAATCTGCATCCCATATAAAGTGTGTTAAAACGTGTCTGCAATTTGCATATTACACAAAAACGTATTTCTTGACTATAAGTCCTTTATCATCAAAATCATCTTTATTGCATTTATCTACTTATAGAAAGTTCCTATTTGATGTTGGTCCGCTTCGATCTCAATACCTTCTCCTCGGCCTCTCGTCTGGCTCTCTCCTCCTCTCTCCAGCGTCTCTCCTCCTCCTGTTTGGCTCGCTCTTCTGCCTCACGCTTACGGATTTCCTCCAACTGCTGTTTCCGTCGTCGCTCCTCATCCTGTAGCTGAGGTGCACAATGCATAATCAGGTTTAGAGGGAAAACACTGGACCAGAGACATGATGGATTAGACTGACTGCAATTCATGGTCTTAAATATAAATGATTGACTAAACTGATCCTAAATTAAATTTATGACAGTTAGAAATCCAACCATGATTTTTGATGTCAATTTTAACCCTAGTTGTAAAACTACTGATATATTTAAAGTTCAATTTAAAACGAACCTAGAAAAACGTCAACTTGCACTTTCGCTTATAAGTTTCGGGTCTTATTAGATTATTATTATTATTTTTAACAAATTAATACTTTTATTCATCAAGGAAGCATTAAATTAATCAAAAGTGACAGTTAAAGACATTTTTTTATCCTTCAACTAAATGCTGTTCTTTTGAACTTTCTATTCAAAGCATCCTAAAAAAATACATCACCGTTTCGACAAAAATATTAAGCAGCACAACTGTTTTCAACATTGATA